ACAATGATCCAGGATTTACATCAGAGGCCTCCAGCGCCTTTACAGTGACACTTCCAAACACTTCAGGGAGTGATTTTTCCCTGTACCAAAGCACCAGACCTTCCTCCGATTACAGCGTTTCTGATTCTGCTCAGCATCCGGTGTTTGTGCCCAAACTTTCTTCCCCGGTGGATGGGATCGCAGGGATTTATCAGAGGATGCACCCTTATGATTCCTGGTTTAAACCAGCTGGAGAGGTCAGTAACGGGTCTGCTGTGTGGTGGGACATGGGGACCAGCTGGGTGGACTCGCAGAACTCAGCCGGGTTACAGTGCGCCTTCAGCGGCTATAGTAATGACTACAGCCCCGCATTCAACACCGGTGCCACTCAGCTGCGCACGGGCGCGCAGCACCGGTTTGACGGTTTCCTGCCTTCTCCGTACAAGGAGACTAAGAGCGCAGCACCTCTTTCCACGGGGACCCCCTCTATTTCACAGCCCACGCCATCTCAGCCATCATCGCGCAAATATTCTGCTCGAGCAACCTGCGATTGTCCGAACTGTCAGGAGGCGGAGAGCCTCGGTCAGGGGGGGTCGAGTCCGCGGCGGAGGAGCGTGCACAGCTGTCACATCCCGGGCTGCGGGAAAGTCTACGGCAAGACGTCCCACCTGAAGGCGCACCTGCGCTGGCACACTGGAGAGCGGCCGTTCGTCTGCAACTGGCTCTTCTGCGGGAAACGCTTCACGCGCTCGGACGAGCTCCAGCGGCATCTGCGCACGCATACGGGCGAGAAGCGCTTTGAGTGTCCCATGTGCCACAAGAGGTTCATGCGCTCTGACCATCTGAGTAAACACCTGAGGACGCACATCTCGGAGGGCGGCACCGAGCCGGGCTCCCAGAAAGAGAGCGAGGACAGAGACAGCGGCGCTGGACGGTCACCGGGCAGCCAGAGCGCCAAAGTCGAGAGATCAAGGGAGTGAAAGTACCTTTAATGATCCTGAAACGGGGTTTCTGGACACTGAAATATTGAATTAGCACTTTATGGTTAATCTTAGCTGTGAAGTGTTTACACACTGTCTGCTTACCTCATCTGATAATAAGAGCCTAATATGAAATGTGTTTACTACACTGCAAAAAATCGAAATCAAAATTTTTTCTTAAAATAAGCGCATTTTTTCTTGAATTTAGTCGGTAAGTGAGACACTTTGCCAGTAGAACAAGACAATTTACATTCAAAATAAGAAAAAAACAATTACATTGTTTTATTTCAAGTGCATATTATCTAATTATCTTATTTTAAGAGCAAAACTACTAATTCTATTGGCAAATAATCTTATTAACCTGCTCAAATTAAGGGGAAATACACTTAATTTAAGAATATTTTACGTATTTCTAGATCGTTTTTGCAGTGTACAGTTGGACGTGTTTTATACATACTCCTAATTTATTCCATAGTTTTTTTTTCTTATTCAATTGTTCTTTTGAATCATCTTGATACATTTAATAGTTAAGCACATATTTAAGTTTATGTCTTTTTTTTTTTTTTAGAATATCTCACTTTGAAAAACTAAATGATTATAATTTATCAATGCTTGTACTTTTTATTAATAAAACAGGAAGATTTTGTACGATTTCTTATGTTGAGTTCTTTATATTATGAGATGTCCGTCCTTTTTTGGGAATTATGCAAAAAAAAAAAAACTCATTTTGGTATAATTGTAAATGCATTAAAAGTACCTTTTAGGAGAACAATAAAAATAAAAATGAAAGTGTATTTGACAAAACTCATTTAAGGATTAATAAGCTTCACATCAACAGAGGAATCATCCATCCATTATTCCGCAGTTTATCCATCAGGGTCACAGACAGTCTGGGCAAGAATCAGTCAAATGCAAACTATATATTCGTATTTTCTTTTCTTTTAAGAGATTAATTGGTAGATATTTAATTTTATATCGACAAAAATGATCAATAGCCAATATGACTAGATTAGAGCAGCTGTGCTCCCAGCATGCTGTTTGGTTTTTAGCCTGATTTGGTCAGGCTGTATGTTCATTTCTAACCATTTCTTTGGGAAAATAAACTAACTTCTCTATTATTTGCATTTAGTGGGTGGAAATTCAAACTTTTCAAATTACTGATAATGTAAAGTTTTTGTGAAAACATAAAATGTAAAGTTTGCTCTTTCGTCGTTTAAAACAGTAATGTTTCACAATTTAAGCAAAAATGACCAAGAAACTAGGAAATTAGGAAAATATCTACTATTGGGAACTTGGTAAAATGTATTAAGAACCACAAATTAATTTCTACTTTTAGATTTTGTAATAAAGAGAAAAATAAAACATGTAAAAAAAAAAACATTTTCGTTAATGGGTTGTTGATATGAGGTGAGATACATGTGAACAAAATGGTTGTCAAAAGAGTCACATAAAAAGAATCCCCAAAAATATCACTGGTACATTCATGTGGACCTTCAATACAGTAATTTCATTTAAAATGGTTGAAACCTGATTCACATAAGTTTAAACCTGATAACATAATAAAGTCAGTTACAGCTCTAGAGCCACATCTGTGCAGATGCCTGAGCTAAAGGGAGTATGTGGATATTGAATAAAAATGTTTTTTGCAATGGCAACTGGAGGAACTCAAAATGGGGATTTTATTTTCTTAGATAAATGACAAAGAAAACACACAAAAATATGGGAAACTGATATAAATCAGGAAAATAAAGTCTTGCACCCCCTCAGTCTAGTTCAATGTGTGAATTGTAGAATTGAGATCTGCTAATAGTTTTAGAGACCTAAATGTTGTCGTCATTGATAGCCTCGATGGTACATTGTTTTGCTCATCTGTAATCAGAGCCAATAGGAAAAAATACCTTTTAAATACAATATCACTTATAATCTTTAGCCTATTTAAGGTGTTTATCTAAGACTGAATCCCTAGCAGAAAATAAATAAAGGAAAAATAATTAAAAAGACAATTTATCACAAACTTTTTAAACATTTCAGATGTTTACAGGTGCTGGTCATAAAATTAGAATATCATGAAAAAGTAGATTGATTTCAGTAATTCCATTTAAAAAGTGAAACTTGTATATTATATTCATACATTACATACAAAATCATATATTTCAGATGTTTATTTTGTTTAATTTTGATGATTACAAATGACAACAAATGAAAATCTCAAATTCATCATATCAGAAAATTAGAATATTACTGAAGACCAATAAAAACAAAGGATTTATAGAAATGTTGGCCAACTGAAAAGTATGAACATGAAAAGTATGAGCATGTACAGCACTCAGTATTTAGTTGGGCCTCCTTTGGCCTGTATTACTGCAGCAATGCGGCGTGGCATGGAGTCGATCAGTCTGTGGCACTGCTCAGGTGTTATGATAGCCCAGGTTGCTCTAATAGTGGCTTTTAGCTCTTCTGAATTGTTGGGTCTGGTGTATTGCATCTTCTTCTTCACAATACCCCATAGATTTTCTATGGGGTTAAGGTCAGGAGAGTTTGCTGGCCAATTAAGAACAGGGATACCATGGTCCTTCAACCAGGTACTGGTAGCTTTGGCACTGTGTGCAGGTGCCAAGTCCTGTTGGAAAATGAAATCTGCATCTCCAAAAAGTTGGTCAGCTGCAGGAAGCATGAAGTGCTCTAAAACTTCCTGGTATGTGGCTGCGTTGACCCTGGACCTCAGAAAACACAATGGACCAACACCAGCAGATGACATGGCACCCCAAACCATCACTGACTGTGGAAACTTTACACTGGACTTCAAGCAACGTGGATGAAGTGCCTCTCTTCTTTTCCTCCAGACTCTGGGACCTTGATTTCCAAAGGAAATGCAAAATTTACTTTCATCAGAGAACATGACTTTGGACCACTCACCAGCAGTCCAGTCCTGTTTCTCTTTAGCCCAGGCAAGACGCTTCTGACGCTGTCTGTGGTTCAAGAGTGGCTTGACACAAGGAATGCGACAGCAGAAACCCATGTCTTTCATACGTCTGTGTGTGGTGGTTCTTGAAGCACTCACTCCAGCTGCAGTCCACTCTTTGTGAATCCCCCCCACATTTTTGAATGGGTTTTGTTTCAAAATCCTTTCCAGGGTGCGGTTATCTCTCTTGCTTGTACACTTTTTTCGACCACATCTTTTCCTTCCCTTCGCCTCTCTATTAATGTGCTTGGACACTGAGCTCTGTGAACAGCCAGCCTCTTTAGCGATGACCTTTTGTGTCTTGCCCTCCTTGTGCAAGGTGTCGATGGTCGTCTTTTGGACAACTGTCAAGTCAGCAGTCTTCCCCATGATTGTGTAGCCTATAGAACTAGACTGAAAGACCATTTAAAGGCTTTTGCAGGTGGTTTGAGTTAATTAGCTGATTAGAGTGTGGCACCAGGGGCCATCAATTTTGAACCTTTTCACAATATTCTAATTTTCTGATATGATGAATTTGAGATTTTCATTTGTTGTCATTTGTAATCATCAAAATTAAACAAAATAAACATCTGAAATATATGAGTTTGTATGTAATGTATGAATATAATATACAAGTTTCACTTTTTAAATGGAATTACTGAAATCAATCTACTTTTTCATGATATTCTAATTTTATGACCAGCACCTGTATTATCGGACTAACCAGACATTTAGGGTCAGTTGATCTCCATCTGAATGAAACTTCATAATGACTCCAACTACCAGTATGTCCTACACCTCTGTTAGAAAATAATCAGATCTATTCAACAAACACAACAATTTATTTTAAAATAATGCAAATATAAATGCAAATATCCACAGATATTTGAAGAAGTCAAGCACACCTATCTAACCTGAACTGGCTGCATGCTAAAGTTAAAAGCAGAAGAGCATGAGCATCATCATTTTTGTTTATTACTTTCGGATATTTAAACTTTACATTATTGCTCTTTTGAGACTAATGTGTTTTACAATCCAAAAAAATGATAAGTAATATTTCAATACAATTATTCATTGTAATAGAAATATAATAACTCAAGTAATAACTGATACATCTTGCACATTTTATTTTGATAAAAACAGACATACACAATAACTTACAATAAGGCTATCTTGAAAAAGTGCCATTTTCACTAAAAAACTTTGTACCATGTTAAATGAGATGACTAATAATGCTACCTTATTGCTAAAACCTTCCACAGTCCACATAAAAACGACAGTATCCGTCTTATTGCGCAGCACTCTTATGAATTATGGAAAATCTCCTGCAACGTAATCAAAATAAATAGTTATTAGTGTTTCAAAGTCACAAGAAAAAAAGAACAGTTTGTACCAAAAAATCACTTCTTTAAAACAATCTGAGAATTTGAGCAGGATCAAGCTAAATCAAAACTCTCAGGTTATCTCCAATAGTTTGTGAAGACTAAATTCTGACTCCGTATCATCTAAGTTCATTCGTACCTTAAAGCCTTTAGATTTACAGACAGCTCTGCAAACGGATCATGAGAAAGAACATGATGTTACGCCTTTAATGTAGAAAGGTAACGTCTCACATGATCAGGTGACAGTTGTTATATCACTATAAATACTTGTTGATCATAAATATTTCAAACATGAATCTCAGTCGTGGTTGTTCCAGTGTTAAGGTGGATTTGTTACATCAGCTTCTAATGCCCAAAGTTCACAGCTCTCCGGTCCCAGAATGCCCACAGTTTTCAGTAGTATAATGCAGCTTCTTTTAGTGCAAAGTTTACATTGTAAAGAACAGGCCACTGATCTTTTACAAACACACCCTGTTAAATTAATCACCCACCAAATGACTGAAAAGAAAAGTTCATAAGAAAAACAGCCATTGGTGAAACAATCAAAGGAGCAAGCTGAGGTCAATAGTGTTTTTGTTGTTTTTGTTTTAGAGAGGATGCAGTACATTAAATTGACCACACGGGGGCAGATAAGGACAGGGAGATGCTGCAAGTGGAGGAGTCGCCTTCAGAAACATGACATTTCAATATGTAGTGTTTTCATTTAAGTCACAGATAGAAAGCACAAATGCCCACATCAGCAAACAAACAATCAAAAAAAAAAAAAAAAAAAAACTCTCACATTAATCTAAATTTTAGAGGAGTACCTCTGAACTGTTAAGAGGAAAGAAGAGAAAAACCATCACAATCACCCTTTGATTGGCCTCTTAAATGAGCAGAGAAAGAAGAAGGTGGGCGACTTGTACTCTTTTCTTCATCTTGATTCAAACAATACTGGCCACTGTAGTCGCAAAGTCTCTCAGGGTTTGGTCAGTTGATTAAAAAAAAAAAGAAAAAAAATCAGGTTCATTGAGGTTTTGGAGTCAAGTTTATCATCTTGTCCTTCACATATAGTTAGTTGATGCCTGGGAGTGTTATAGGAAACAGAAAAGAAGATTCTAGTCCAACTCTTCCTCTTTGTTTGCCTTTGATGCATTCTTTCAGACTTCAATATTCATGTGTTGTTTAGAACTGCCAATGGCCATCGAGAGGCATCTTGGGAATCTGTATGTGCATCTCCACGGGGTGGTCAGGAGGACGGTCCCTTCTGTAGGTAACTGTTTTCTCATTGGCTGTAGGAATGTATGAGTGATCCTGGAGGGCGACAGAAACATGCATTCAGCAAAAGCAGCATTCAGCAAAAGCAGCATAATAGGAGGCTTGTACTTTTGTAAACTTGAAACTGTTAAACATTTTGTCACATTAAACCCATGAGCTTCAGAATAATTGAAAAGGGAAATAATGGAAATTATAGAATTTTGTGTTTTTACTTTTCTTTTAAATAAACAACTGAAAAGTGTGGCATGCATTTTTATTATGTCCCTCCATTTGCATCCTGAGCTTTTGGTTAGCATCTCTACCAGCTTTAAGTATCCATCCATCCATCCCTTTTCCGTCACGCTTATCCCAAGCGGGGTCGTGAGGGTTGCTGGTGCCTATCTCCAGCTGTCTACGGGCAAGAGTCGGGGTACACCGTGGACAGATAGCCAATCCATCACAGGGCAACACAGAGACAAACAGGACAAACAACCATTCACACACACACTTACACCTAAGGAGAATTTAGAGAAGCCAATTAACCTGACAGTCATGTTGTTGGACTGTGGGTGGAAGCCGGAGTTCCCGGAGAGAACCCATGCATGCTCAGGAAGAGCATGCAAACTCTATGCAGAAAGACCCCTGGCCTTGGAGCTTTAAGTATCTTAAACTTAATTGTTTATGCATTCTTCTCTGTAAATTAGCTCATGATCAGTTAGATTGTGAATAATAGTTGTCGTGTTTGTGATGACCTCTTGGGGTCAGCATTGAGACCAAAACAGTTTGTTTTCAACTTAAATACAAGGTTTCATAAGTATTAGATTGTTTTTTTTTGGAGATGATAACATTTTTTGAGAGGTTGACAAGTGAGAGGTTAGAGCAGCTCCTAAATGATATAACATCAGAGATAAATAATTCAAAAAGTTACCTATTTCACAAAGAAACAGTCCTTAAATTTGGAGAAAACTAAGTACATGTTTTTTGGATATTATAAAGAAAACGTAGATGTGAGTCATAATAGGTGAAATGTTGAACAAGTAAATGAAATACATTTTTTATGTGTGATCATTGACTACAACATCTACTGGAAGTCTCACATTAAACATGTACAATTCTTAGTAAAGCAGAACATTTTCTAAATTATGAAGCACTAAATATTCTTTACCTTTCGCTGATTTGATCATATCTGAGCTATTGTGTTAAAGTCTGGGGCAGTTTATCACTCAAACCGCTATGCACTTTGCAGAAAAGAGCCATCGGAGTAATTCATAAAACTGGCTATCATGACTACACTAATCCATTATTCATTTATTGCCTGTTATGATTAGGCCCAATATTAAACATGAAAACTAATGTGTAAAGCTAAAAATATACAGCATACAAAAAGTGATGTTTAGAGAGAGGGAGAGCATAATTGGAGGGATAATATAAATTTTAAAATCGTATGTGCTCTCACAAACATGAAGATGAAATGCATTTTGATAAGAATTGTGGAAGCATGGAACAGACTCAGTGTTCAAATAAAGCAGTCCAAGAATGACACTGACATACAGCATGATACTGTCACCTGCCTACTTCACAGCGGACAAGATGTTCTTAGCCTGACAGAATTTTTTCACAGAATGGTCCAGTGGTTGTTATAGCTCAACACATGGTATGAAGTCTCATGATACCGCAGGATTTGTTGCATATAATTAAGGTATTTGCCTCTTATTGTAGCCTCACATAGGAAAGGAAAGTGAGTAACATACCACCAGAACTGTGAATCAAATTCCCCACAAGGTAAAACTGAACATTAAAAGAATTTGTCAACATGCAAGATTTTAGTTGTTACCAAAACAAACCTATGCATCTAAGGCTCAAAACATGGAGTTCTATTAAGCTGTTTTGCAGTGGTGTGAGGGGGTATATACATGATGATTCAAATCCCCCCAGAGTCACACAGCAATTTAAGCCCACACATCCTGAGAACACATCTCTGTTGAATCTACAAACCCATTTTACTCAAAGGTGCCGTATGTCAGAGTAAGGTCAAAAATCTAGCAACCGTAGATGTTCAGCAGGGAGTTGAGAGGAAATGTTAAAAACAGCTGTACCCCACAGGGCACACTCAAATTTCTCAATCTTCAGTAGAGAAAAACTCGTTAACATACATTTTCTTTAAATTGAAGGACTTTTTAATGTCTCGGAGGACACAAGGCTTGACCTCAATTAAAAGCTCATGAGAAGTCATTTAAGTACTCACCTTTCCAGAGCAAGAGAAGCCTATATCTGCAGCAGCGCCCCCACGTGGCATGACTCTCCTTTGCAGAAGCAAGCGTGACACGGCTACCACAACCAGGCCGCACAGCACCGTCAGAGCACACACACTCAGGAAAGTTCCAACCAGCCGCCCGCAGCTGACACGCTCTGTGAACGCACGCACAGTATATTAACATTCAAATAGTTTCGCAGAGAAGAGCTGGGACCAGCAGAAAAAAAGGAAATAAAACTTCTATAAACGGCTACACTACATGGCAGGATGTTAAATATAGACACATAATGTGACATTCATTTCACTAGAAACACTGGTTCTTCAATAATATGCCAGTTTATGGTAGGCTTGAGCCATGGTGGTTTCTGAGTTAATGTGAAACATCCAGGGCAGTTCAGTTTAACTATTACACAGCAGGGTGCACAATTAGAATATGATCCCAAATATGTTTTGAAGCTGAATTTTAAAAGGTTGAAGCAAAATGCAATTAAGTAAATGTTCTGTAAAGATCCAGATAAAAAACCTATTTGAAATGTATGGAGTTTGGTTAAAGAGTGTTGTTTCCCCACAAAATTGATACAAATGTTAGATGGGATGCATGGACACATTTGAGCCTTTTTGGATACATAGAAATCTCAATTGCTTTAAAAATTCACTGAAGCTTTTTATTATTTTTATCATTAAGGTATGCTGCAAAAACAACAGTATTAATTAAAAAGACAAGCTTCAAAACATAATAACACCAATTCCTCATTAAACTTTTAAGAAAAGCTGTATTGAGAATATTTTATGCTATAACCCTGTATTTTCTCTAACTGCTATTTGAATAAAAACAACCATAGTGGTTGCATACCCTAAGAGCATCTTTACAACACAAAACCAAAAAAAATCTAAAACATGTACAAACTCCTTGATTTGCGTGGGTAAATAAGATATGCAGATGGAATGAGTACTTTAATTCCAATAAGATAATTTTATATTGTGCACCTGATATAGGACAATGCAAATTTTGTTCTTATTTTAAATGTTGTCCTATTCCATTTGCAACGTATCTCTTTGACATGCTGAATTGAAGATAAAAATTGCAGTTATTTTACAGAAAAATTTAATTTCTTTGCAGTATAGTGCTCAAATATCAAATTCAAGAGCTTATATTTAGAAATCATAGATTTTTCCTCTTTACCTTTTTTATTTCTAAAAGTCCACATCAAAGGGATGCATTTGGTCCCAAAGAAGAACCTACTTATAAATCCCTTAATATTCCAAACTTTTATGATGATATACTTGAGTATGAAAGCTGCTCATACAACTATTTCTGACAATTTACAAAAGGTAAAATTAAGTCTGTCAGTTAATTAAAATATGTATTGTATATAGACCTCTTCAGGCAAAATCTTAACTGAATGACAAGTATAATACAGAATTTTTTGTAAGAGAATGTGAAAAAGTATTAGAAATTGATTCATCATCCTGTTCATATTTATTCTGTCATAATAAATAAAACTATACTATTAAGGAGCAGGGTATGTATACGTATAGGTGTAATTATATATAATTATAATATATAATTGCAATTAAATATAATGGTAAAACTTACTTTTTGTTAAAAGAAATGAATAACATCAGCTCTATGTGGTTATCTTTAGTAAAACACTAAAGATATAACCGAAAACAGACAGACCTACACTCTGTTCAGTCAGAGGCAGCTGTGCCAGCGGTGCTTTGCTAAAACACTTAGCTGGCTGTGTATCTGCTGGGGACCATGTGCAGATGACGAGCTGATCTCTCCGCACAAAGAGTCCAAAGAGTGCTCTGACATTTTCTAACAGCGTTTCCATAGAGACCTGGCTCCTACTGCACCCGGGGAGCAGTGGGTGTGAACGGGAAGCAAGTGTCCCGTTGGGCTGGGGGGGAAAAATCACAGGGGGGAGGGGGACAATGAACGGTGCTGTTCCAAAAATTTAAAAGGCGGGGATGAACTGTAACACTTGGACATGCAACACTGTGCGTGTGCAGATTAGGTGTGTGTGTGTGAAAAGAGAAAGAAAATGTAAAATACAGCTGTAACACTGACAGCAGGCCTGCTGACTCAAATTCACTGGGGTGTACTGAAGCAGCCATGGTAGCAACGGAAGTGACCTTGCAGGAAAACATGCATGTGTGTTTACATTGTTCTGGTCTTTTGCTAATGTGAAGCCGAGCCTGACCCGCCTGCGAGCGAACCAGAAACTGATACTGACAGCTGTCATTGCAGAGCAAGCTCAAGTCTAAGACATGTTAAAGGTTCAGATCAAGAAACAAGCTGAAAACATTTTCAATATCCTTGAGTCCTGCATATTATGTTCGGTGGTGTTGTTAGTAACTTAAGGAAAACAGGAGGTACGAAAATTGCTTCCCAGTAGAAGACGTAAATTCAAGTAACATTCATCCACATTATTAAAAAAAGTGCATCTTAAGTTAAAATGATAATCTATTCAGTAACGCAAATATTAGCTCATAACATTTTAGTTAGACTGAGCTTACCGAGGTCATCATGTAGCGAAACAAGCCCAAATTATCACTCACCACCCCTGTGCTTTGCAACTGGCTTTGCAATTGTGCTGAATTACTGCAAAGGGCTTAGGCTTTGAAAATTGAAACATGAATAATATGGGGTAGTACTAGTTTAGAAGCTAAGGAAGAGCTTGAACTGTGTTGCCTTGTTTGTATTATTGATGTTTCCTTCTGAAAAAGAACACATAGTATATTGTATAGATTTCCCAGACAGTCTGTAGCAGGGATAATCTGAAATGTAGCTCTTCTGTCTTTTGTATTCCTTTGTCTGACCTCTGGATGAACTTGCTGGGATGACAGCTTCTGGAAAGATTGGCAGCTGCCTTGAATGTTTTTCACTTGGGAGATATCTTTTTCCTTCAATGATAGATTCCACCATTATTTTGCAGATTGTCTTAAAATCCTTCCTCAACCTAAAGAGCAGCCAAAGATGTTTCAGTAGGGATATTGCTGATGCCTTTCCATAATGGGATTGTGTTTATACACGTCCTCAATACAGTAAAAAAAAAAAAAAAAAAACATATAAATTTTTAGATCTACACAAATTAACTTTAAACATGTTAAACAACTGTAGTTGGTCAGCAGCATAAGCCTGCTGCTGATCTTTTTAGTCTCCATAGTAACTAAGCTTTCAAATGCTGCTTTTGAGTTTTAGACAGAAAGATTGGTCACATGGTAATTCTGTTCGTGACAGCATAAAAACTATTCATTAAGATTGTATTTTAATACTTTGGTCTTTGTGCAAATGAAAAATGTACTGTTTTAGTTTGACAAGTTGATGAAACAAATTCAGGTTCAGGTTTATTTTTTACTCATCAGCACTTTGAATCCAACCCAAACTAATGAAATAATACACAGTTAATTGTTGACCACCTTTTATTTTCCACATACATGTCTAAAAGCTTTGCAGAAATTTTGTGAATGTTTTTCAAAAGCTGTAGGTGCACTAATCTTTGAAATCTGCTGTTGTTTTTAATCTTTAGCAGGAATGTCAGACGAATAGGCAGTTAAAATGTGTTCACACAAAACAAAGCTGTTCTGTCCAGCCCAAACTCAGAACATGATCCCACTGAGTCCACCATGTGTTTGGAGCCAAAAAAGGTCTCAGTAAGGATAAATGAATTGCATTTACATATGCATGCTGGGGAATTTGTAAATGTGGACACGTCACTTCTATACACACAAAACATGTACGCAAAATTCTGATATTCAGACACAAAAAAAAAGAAAAAAAAAAAAGATAAGAAATCTAATTCCGGTGCCCATACAAATATATCTTTGTTTACTAATAGCTTGAGGTCTGTAAACTTTATTACAGTTGTGTAGGTTTTAGACTCTTTTGACTTGGCTAATCGAACAGAGGCCTTTTATTTTAACAGGGAAAGGATCCAATTATCTCCCCTGTCAGCCAATCAAAGGAAGGCCCCTCATCTGGAGGATGATTTACATCCAATCACAGAACACATTGGCATACCTCTATGTTTATGTGGTGCCTGTGCTTATATTAATAGTTGATAATAAAATGGTTAAAGATATTAAACATCTCATATTAAGGGACTGGTATGCTTCACTCACATTTTAGATTCAGATATATTTGTGTTCATCAAAAAATTATTTCCTTATTTTTTATTTCACATTTGTGAAATTTATGCGTATGTGAAAATCTGCTTTACCTTTTAATTTTTTGTCTGAATTTGTGAACTTTATGTATGTGTGAATCTTGTGTGCTTATATTTTAATTCTGAGAATCTTTATATGAATGCAATTTGTGCTTTTTTTCTGCATTGTGACTCTTATAGAGCTGCACATATGATCTGAGTGAATTCACATTAGTACACAAAGCCATGTAATTATGTTCTAAAAAGTCAGTAATCATAATACCCGATCTCTATCCTGTGATATGCTTTGAGTCAAATTTACTCTCACTTAGACCATCTGATCCATGGGGAGGCTTTATCAGTCGGTTTTCTAACTTAGTAACACAGAAAATATTCTCGTCTTTAACCATCTACAAATTGGTGAAGCTTTTCAAGAGGAAATAGGAAAAATGACAAGTTGTGTTTGCAGTACAAAGCTATATTTTGGTAGACTATAGCAATGTGACATTTCTTTTTAATCTAAGTTGGTGCTTTTACCTGAAACATCTGTTATGGAGCCCATATACAGTGCGCAGGTGGTGTTGCATAATTCTGCATCTTTTTGGGAAAGACCTTGAGAACGAAGACAGTCCACACTCTTGCTAAGAAAGAGGAAAACACTATGAAAAGATTATCCAAATTAACAGATCAGCAATCTATCATTTTTAAAAAGATGCTAACTGAGTTAATTGTGTGTGTTGTTAAACGAATAGTAATTAATAAAGTACCAGGAGGATTTCTGGGTGTGCTGGCAGGTAGGACATCTTTCACAGAAGTCTCCAGAGTGTTGGGAGTCCTCACACACACACTTGCCACACACACACTTGCCCCACCCACTGCAAAGCAAACCATCTGGGGATTGGCAGATGGCTGTGGAGGTGGGACAACCACAACCATCACCTGTCCACCCATCCTCGCACAAACACTCGCCTAAAACACACGCACCTCTGCCTGTGAGAAAAAAAAAAAAACAATTTAAAGGGATTAGGAAAGTGCTTCTTCTCTATGATAAAACTGGAGAAAAATCAAATATTCAACCTTACCTCCACAAGGCAGACCCCCTTCATATGGGCAGGAGAAGTCATCCTTTTCACAGTATTTCCCATATACCATCCCAAGCCTGCTTTGCTCACAAACACACTTTCCACACTCGCACACTCCCCGCCTACTGCAGTTCACATTTGACCCATGTGCTTTGCAATGTATATTTGGATCTGAGCTGGAGTCCTCCATGTTTCCATGATTTGGCTTTGGCTCTTGTTTGACACCGGGCTGGTTTGGTCTGCAGGGTGACTGGTCATTGCCATCACAGCGGCCCGTCGGCCCACATTGACACCGGCATTTAGAATGGATCCTAATGAGAGTTGACTCATTGTACCCCAGTGGACGTACCAACATCGTCACATCTTCATCTTCACCATCATCAGCACAGGAAAGTTGACCAACTGTGATATTGAAGTAGACCTGCGAGGAAAAAATAACATGTTCTTAGTTTTAAGAATGCTCGACACATGCTAATGTACACACCTTTATATGGCTCTAATAATGGAGAGCTTCAGCTGCTCCTTACGATTGTGCAACTTTTGCTTTTTTGCAGTCTTTTCTGAGGCCTCTTTTGAATTGCATCATCCATGTGAATTTCTGCTGCGTATTAAAGGTTGGCTTGATTTGGCACAGAAGTTCTGAGATCCTTTCCTACCCATGATAGTGTTCTTACTTTTGACCCCACAAAAGATAAGAAAGACAAACTTGGAACAGGAGCTAGGAGATACAATTTGCATAATTTGGGTAGACGGGACTCATAACCGCTCATCTTGAAGCTGAGGGGCTGGTCCCAATCTGAAGTGGTCAGTGGGATAGGGTGGGTAGGACCAGCACCGACTGTGATAATCTGGCAACACAGGAAGACGGAACAGACAGCTGTTTACTTTTAGGATCAGCAGAACTTGACTGCATGCGGAAGAGGAAATCCAGCCATTTGATTCAGGTGTTCTGGGTATAACTAAATGTTGGATGATACCGGCTGTCGAGGACTTGAGTTTGACATCTCTGATATAATGAAGTCACTAAACATTATCATAACCCTACTGGGAGCATGCTATTACTAATGAACATTTGGGTTAGTAACAGTGTACACAAGAGTCTGTTGAAGCGTGTTTAGTACTAAAGCTTTCAAAATTAAGGTTTCACTCTAAACCTTAAATACTATCTAACAAAGCAAAAAAAACTTAGAGTCTGCATGTCTTAAAATAGATGAAAACATGTTTTTAGGCACAGGGCAGATCGTCAAAAAAGGTGCAAGCTAGCGTATTTTCACGACTATAAGGCGCACATTAACGTCTTTTTTTCCCCTCAAAATGTGCGGTGCGCCCTTTGGTGCGGTGCGCCCTATGTGTGTTGTAACTGCGACTTTTGAGACCACCCTATTGAGGAGATGATGAAAGAGTGGCTGAATGTAAGGAGACCAGGTGTTTTTTTCCCACTCATCACCATCGCTGGTAATCTGTGACTCCATGCTGCCCATCTCACAGCTGATGTGAAAAACATGGTGAAACAAATGAACGCTGTGCTCGCTGTTCAACCGCTCGACATCGGTGTGAACCGGACCCAGCAGGTGCAGCAGAAGCAGCGAGTTTACATGCAAAGTCAATGGTTGACGCGCGTATAGGCGCAGCAAAAGGTCCCGCAGCGCGTTTTGAGCAGCAGGCGTAGCGCGTCGGGAAAGTTTAAGCATCTGACGCGCCGCCAACGCGCTGCTGCTCTAGATGGAAAAATTGAAGTTTTGCTGCTGGAAGCGCCGCATCAACCAATCAGAGAAGCTGATCTGGGAGCTGACAGCGAGACAGACACAGCGCTCTGATGACATATGATATTAACGCAAATGAAAAAGGCTGGATGGATGAGGAGATGATGAAAGCGTGGCTGAGGCAGGTGTATGTGAGGAGACCAGGTGGTTTTTTCCACGCATCACCATCGCAGTTAATCTATGACTCCATGCGTGCCCATCTCACAGCTGATGTGAAAAAAAAGGTGAATCAAATGAACGCTGTGCTCGCTGTTATCCCGGGCGGTCTGACAAAGGAACTTCAACCGCTCGACATCGGTGTGAACCAGCCGTTCAAAGTAAGGCTGCGAGCGGCATGGGAGCGATTAATGACAGACGGAGACCACAGTTTCAAGATAAGTGGAAGGCAGCTTTCGCAAAAGCCGGCATTATTTCTGAGGAGCCGCACGGCACGGAAAGTGACTCTGACAGCAAAGAAGGGGAAATTGGCATGTCTGATTAATCGCAGCTGTTTAATTCAGAAACAGAGGATGATGACTTTGATGGGTTTGATTAATGCTTTGTAATAAATACATAAATAAAGCACAAACATACTCAGTTTTGCTCCCGCTCTATTTTTCTACCTGAAAACTTAATTCAACAGCAGCCTCTGGGCCGGGCCACCTCCGGGTTCACCGCGGCGGCTGGCAGGTGTTTTTTCATCTAAATAATCTAAATCTTGCAGCTATATTTGCTGTGATCAGTGGGAATAAAGTAGTTTTAATATGTTTTAAGTGAGAAAGTCCACCTGAAAACTTAATAATTGCTGTCAGTTCATCCAGATTATCTATTTCTGTCGGAGGCGCTCAGACCCCCACATACCAGCGGTGCACCGACAGTAGAAATCCCTTCAACAGCAGCCTCTAGGCCGGGTAGCCTCCGGGTTCACCGCGGTGGCTGGCAGGTGTTTTTCATCTAAATAATTTAAACTGCAGGCACCAGGATACCGGTAATAAAAGCGAACATATTCTGTCGGCAGGTTTCAGGATTTTAAGTTAATTTAGGAGTGACCACAGCGCTGTGTCATCTGCGATGTGTCTGTCTCACGGCCAGCTCCCAGGTTTGATTAATACTTTGTAATAAATACATGAATAAAGCACAGTCATACTCAGTTTTGCTCCCGCTGTATTTTTAAATATGCAGTAGAGGTATTTAAACATAGTAGAGGACATGTACCTGTATATAAAACCCGCGCCCTATAGTCCGGTGCGCCTTATGTGTGTGTTAAATACAGAAATGGCACACATAACTGAGACTGCGCCTTTTAGTACGGTGCACCTTATGGTCGTGAAAATACGGGTAAATGATTTGCGTTTGCATATTCGACTGCATGGGCAAATATTTCTTGTTTGTGTCTTCATCGATATGGAGATCATATTCTAATTACATTTGTCAGTAACACTTGCAAATAGTCTAAGAGAATGATTATAGTATTATCAAGTTTTAATTTTTTTTTAATAATTATTCATATTACTTCCATCACTATGGAGATGTATCTCATCTTTCTCTTACAACCCATTTCAAACTAGCTGTAAGAAATCTGCGTATTTTAATGGGAGGAATAAATCCAGTTTGCATATCTTAACATTTGCACATCAATCTTTGTAGATCACCTGCAGCACGCCCACTTTTTGCATGTACTGAAAAAAAATTGCCATGTGCTCAAAAAATATAATCTTTGACAATCAGGCCTTTAAGGGCTGGTTATACTCCCGCAGCAGTGTGTCGCAGTGAGCTTGTCGCAGTTATGACTGAGATATTTTTGATTATGCCCAATTTTGAAGCGTGGTCTGAGCTATGTTATTCCACGCCACAATGCAAGTGGGACACTCATGAACTAGCTGTGGGCCTAGATACGGCCGAGGCGGTGACGAAGTGGAAAAAACGCAAGGGGCAAGTTTGTGCAACAACGAAGGGAGAAGAGCGGAGTTCCAGGTGGAAAAAGTGTCCCAGCGTTCTCACGCACCTCGTTCTTCAAGCTGGTCCATCTTCATGAGTCTATTTCCACAATGGCGGTCATACACACACAAAACAAGCCGGTAATTTACCGAAGAGTAAATATGCATTGTGTAGAGCGGATGCAGATTTTACCAATCAGAGGCCTCCTGTTTTCTGCGCTGTCTGCGGTCACCTACAATTTTGGAGAGGTACAAAAGGGGCGGGGGCATATCAGCGTTAACTTCAGCACACACGCCGGTTTCTGAGAATAAACCAACCTATTCTTGGGCGACAGTGGCGTTGGATGTAGGAGTTTGCCCTGAAATCGATGGATTGACGGTTCAAGCCCCGGGTCTGACTTTCAGTGTCGTTGTGTCCTTGGGCAAGACACTTCCCCTGCATTGTCTACTGATGGTGGTCAGAGGGCTCGGTGGCGCCAGTGTACGGCAGCCTTCTGTCAGTGAAGCAGCTGTGGCTAAAATGTAGTTTGCTACCATCAGTGTGTGTGTGAATGGGTGAATGACTGAATGTAGTGTAAAGCGCTTTGGTCAAGTCTCCTGACTTGAAAAAGCGCTACATAAGTACAGGCCATTTACCATCTATACTACAGTATGTAGCTCTTTTTGTAGCACAGGATCAAGTACAATGTGGAGTTCACCATACAAATTGGTAAACATAAAACTCTCCTTTCTTGATTTGGAAGTATCTCATAAATCCCAAGTACAGACACAGCCATACTCAACTGAAAAATGACACTGCTGATGACTGTACAAAACAAAGATCTCAATCTACAGTCAAGCCCTTGCTTCATTTTATCTCCCATCTGGTAAATTTGGTACTTTCCATAATACAGTTTAATCTGCCCATGGATGAAAAGCTGGGTATTAATCTATGCACAAAGGCGTTACTATGAGGCGATGAGTAAGCAACTTGGTGTTTCACAGAAAACACCAGATCTCTCAGTAGGAATAAATCTTGGGGAGTGGGTAGTAGAATGTTTCTTACTTCAGTGAATACAAGTTGACCTTTTCTGACAGCAACTGCAGCAGCAGTAAGTACTGAAAGGACCTTTCTGAGCAGGAGGACATAGATCTAAATATAAATGTCCTACCTGCAAACATGCAGGCTCTCATTTTGGGCAAGGTAAAGGTTTTAGAATGAAAAAAGGTCACTGAATCACAAGGGAATGTTTTCTTGTTAAATACAGGCTTTAATCCGCTCAGCTTGGATTATTTACCAAATCTTTTCTGTCACGTAAAAACTCTCACTGATGTGTTTCTATGTGCTACAGTAATTCGATACATTTAATACATGCTGTATCACCTCCCTGGTGAAGCCCCTTTCTTCAAAATGTTTTTTTAACAAAATGTTGTCAAAAGCCCCTTTTACACTACCCTTTCAAAACCACGCCAAGAGCGCTCCGAGCACAGTAACTGAGATAACTGTTGAGTGTAAATGGCAGGCAAAACTGAACTAGATATTGCCAGACACAACCAAAAACACGCTAAACTAGTACTAGTTCAGCATTAGGGCTCGGCCAGGATCAGTTGTGGCTCGGTTCTCTGATAACAAAGCATGAGCAGACCACGTCATCTCCTTTTTACAGTCAGCTTGCAGTAGTTGGGGGTAATGCACATTAGTGAGTTGCTTGCCAAACGCCACAAAACAAAAGAAGAGGAACTGTAAAAAACAATCGAAATCTTCTTAACACTACCTTTATAAAATGGCTTTAAAAGAGCGGGTGCAACCAGATGACACCGAGACTTAGGCTCTTATTGCATTTTGGGAGGAGGATGCTATCCAGCTGATGTTTGACGGAGCAAACCATAATCACAAAGTTTTCCTACTAGAGAGCAGTAGTACCGTAGATCGTCACTAGGAGGCGAGGAACCACGCTAACGTGATGTGTAAATGGCACAGTTAACTGATCCAAGCTCGGTCTGAACTTGGCATGGATCGGTTTCAGAGGTTAGTGTAAATTGGGCTATAGACTGTTTTGTGGTTTACCGTCTGGCCTGGCTGCACCCCCAAGCAGCGTTGCTCCTCAGCAGTGGATCCGTGAGGGCAAAGAGGGGAAACGGACACCCAGTACCTGCTGGCCGCCTTGTCATCCACTGACAGGGACACTGCCACCTCAGACAGTAATCTCTGTGGAAAACAAACACAGATGGTTTAAGGTTGGAAGCTTCTTTCTTTCTTTCTTTCTTTCTTTCTTTCTTTCTTGAAGCTATTTTCTTTCTTTCTTTCTTTTTTTCTTTCTTTCTTTCTGTCCTTCTTTCTTTCTTTCAGAGGACAAAGAGGTGGGGTTAAAAATAGCATCTTTGTATTGGTTTGAAATCAGGACACATGGTTTCCTTAGGGATCTGATAGCCATTATAATAGAAGCTTCTGTTGAGGGGCTGCTGCTTGTGTGTGTGTGTGTGTGCACAATGGTGTGTGTGTGTGTGTGTGTGTGTGTGCACAACGGTGTGTGTGTGTGTGTCTGCATGTATGCGACACAGCACATCCAGATCTGTGGGTTCAGCAGACTCTCAGAGCTAACAATGGACCTCTCTGCCGCAGGCAAGCTTCTGGCCCAGAGGCCAATGGCAATTGCACTAATTCCTAGTTTCACATAAACACAAACAAGTTCACACGCAGACAAAAAGTCCTCACTTCCCTTAACCTCTTCTTCTCATGTATTTTTTCTTGATCATATTTTCTGATTTATCAGCTGGCCCACAACCACAAACTTGTCTGGATATCTGATTTCCCACGTTCGGAAATTGGAGTTGATGAAAATGTATAGAGCATCACATCAACCAACGTAACTTCCTACTACTGTACTTTTTTACTTCTTTTTTCTAAACAAAGGCCACATTTTTTTTTTTTTGGTTGGGGGTGGGGTGTTTAAAGAAGAACCAAGGTTTACCTTGTATCCATCTACCACCAGGTCTAAGAGGTTTGGTGCATGAAAGAGACCCAACTTTCCCAGGGAGGAACCAGGTAGAAGCTCAACCAGTTTCTAAAGAATGAAAACACAGATAAAACTAATTCCTTAACCAATCCCTCAGTCAATGCAAAATGATATTTTCCAAGGTAATTATATATCTTTTTGCAGATATGGTACAGATTACCTCATACCACTGGTACTGCTCCTTGTCCACAGCAAAGATGGGGTAGATATGGTTTTCAAGCAGCTTGTCAGAAAGTTGGCCCAAAGTGGGATGGTCCTGTGAGGGCAATGTTTAAAAGCATGAGGTTAACTGTGATCTTGATGAAGAAAAGTTTAACTGCAGCTACATATTTAGACATGACTTTCTCACCATCCTAGTGCTTCCAGTGTAAACGTTATTGTCCAGGTGACACCGGCCATCGTGTGGTGTTACAATCCCAGCTAGCCTGCTGTCCAGAGCGAGATGAGACGGTTGGTCTGTCATCAGGAGCAAGAGGCGCTTTGCGTCTGGCCGCCAACCGACTGCCTGCTGCCAAAGTCCAAAAAAACAGGAGTCATGTTTAATTATATGCTTCATATTTTTTTTTAAATACTGCCAACTGCCACGTTTTGAAGAGGAAATCTTTGCATTGAATTAGATATTTCACATCCATGACTTTATATGGGCCAGGACACACTGCATCTCATTATTTTGAGGGGAAAAAAATGCCTGCTTTATGACAAACACCCCATTTCTGGAAAGCAGTTTCAAAAATTCCACCATTGTTAAATTCTCTTAAATCACTTGTTATCAATATAGTTAGAGCAACTGATGTGGAAAACTGTGCATGCTTCCTATTTTAAGGATTTACAAGTGCGGTTGAAGAAAAAATGCATACTGAAGCACTTAAATCATCTGAACTGCATTAGTTTCTCTGATGATCGGGTCTTTCTGCAATGCCCAATTTAAGCAAAAGCAGCAGAAACTCCACCCCTCCGTTATCAGTCAGAGTGGCTCCTTCTTAATGTCTGTAAATCATCAGAGACAGTGTGAGAAAATTGGAGCATGTGTGGATGCTTGTGTATTTAGGGAAACTCACTGAGTTTATAGTATGCATGATGTAATGGAGAATCTATTTCTGAACGTGACCACCACAGTGATTGAATTCTTGCTCCAGCCCCTCCTGTGTTGCTGTGACTCAAAGCCCCCCTGCTGTAGTTTTGCGAGCCTTAACGATTATGTGTGCCATGCCCCTGCTATGGTGTCATTACTTAAACGGGAATCCAGCAGCATCACGCAGTGCTGAGTCAGAGCGCTTCCAATTATTCCAACACAAATGCCACTGTCAGTGTCTGACGGGTTGCTCGAAATGGTATTCACCTTGCAGACAGCAGCTTGCAGCATCGCATCCAGTCCTCCCTCGGGTGTGTCTACATTACCGGAGATGCGCTGGCGCTTCACTACCCGCGTGAATTCGCTGATGTTACCGGTCATGCTGAGGACATGGTGGAAACCGTGGGCTGGGCGACATTTAATCTGGTACTCACTGGGTAAAAAATGACATATACATTTTTGATTTGCTACTTTAATGACAGCAAAATATCACACACACTCATGTTAACATTAGGCTAAAATACAGATAATGTTCATTTTGACTTTAAAAGTGGGCCAGTTTAGACTTTATTTTCTTGCGGCAGTTTTCTTTTTAATGACGATCAACACACATTAGCTTTACACAAATGGTATGTTTTCCTGTGTTTCCTATTTGGCATGCTGATGGTATTCAACTTTATCTATAGCGCAGTTCTAAGTTAGTTTAATCAAAGTATGTCTTTAAGACGTTAAATCTTGGATGGACTGTGTAAAGTAGACCAGTCAATGTTATGGTTCTCCACTTTTGGGACTCTAAGTTTTTAGTTTTCAGTTACTCTGTTTTGTTGATCTTTGGCTTATTTTCCATTATATATAAGCAGTCTTTAGTTACCCCCCGTTGCCCCCTTGTGCTTGTTTCCTTTTCCCTTAGCTTCCTTCTAGTTAGCTCCACTCAGACCTGCTCCATATTCAGCTCATTAGCCCATCCTTTGTTCTCTTCCCCTTATATACACCTCCTCTGCAGTCACCCAGCACTGATTCCTTGTTGCTGTTTTGCTGCTTCCTCATCTCTGGCTCCCCACGTGAGTTTTCCTCAGATGTTTTCTGTTTTTTTAAATCGTTTCTTTGTATTTTTTTACTTTGTATTTTTGCCTCAGCTGCCTTTTCAAATCTGTAAGACTCACCTCTGCCTCTTAATCTCTCCATTGGGGTCCTCAAAAACCCCCACACAACCGCGACACCCAATGTAACTAATCTTGCTTCCTTGGAGGCAGAACTGGCTGTACATGCTGATTAGTAGGTTTGTCACAGTCAGGACAAGACCTGACTGTGACATTTAATTTAATGTTTCAATGTGAATGGGGACTTTCTGCATGGAGTTTGCATGTTCTCCTTGAGACTGCGTGGGTTCTCTCCAGGTACTCCTGCGTCCTCCCACAATCCAAAAAACATGACTGTTATATTTATTGGCTTCTCTAACTTCTTAGGTGTGAGTGTGAATGGTTGTATGAATGGTTATTCTTTTTATGTATTTTCATGTTATATGATTGTTAGACCTGTATACTGAAGAATGACTTATCTAAACTTGCCAAATTTGCATCAGATTTTACTTTTCTATTGATCCAATGTACTTTAATCAAAGGAGTTTTGAAAAAAATTTGAGATTATGCTAATGCAGTAAAAGTTATTTTTTTGCATAATCACCTCTAAAACTCAATGTACCTTTAATAACTGAAATCCTCCTATTACTCTCTATATATCATTAAATAGAAAATGTATTGAGAAATGTAAAAGATAATGAAGAGAGTTCTATGTATGTGATATATTGTTAGCTCAAAAATAACATGATAAACTAGATTTAGAAGTCAGACATTCATTTTGCCAGTTTCATTTTCCAAATAATGGATATTCCTCTTTACCTGCATGGGTTGTCGATCTTAGAGGGATGCACACTGATATAAGGGGAGACAGGTTTGTCCACAAATGAGCCAAAACCCAGCCAAAGGTCTGACGTGTACTGCGCCATCCGGAGGGACAAGGCAACGCCCACTGTCTTGAGCTGCAAAACAAAAGGGTTGAAATAAGAGAATAGACTCAAATGCAGAAGTAGATATTACTGGATCAAAAAGAACAACAGAGAAATTTAAAGACAAAAGAGGAAGAATAGGTTTGCATAAGAAGTGGAACAACTTAGTTGTTTCCCTAGATCCTCATTTCTTATGAAGATTTTTTGGAAAATAGCCTTAGAATTAAAATCTTGTTAATAAATAGTTGTTGTTTTTTTTTATCCCTGAAAGACCCCTGATGAAGTGATAATGCACAGTCCAAACACCTACATGATCAAGGTTGGCCTGCATGGAGGCTGATACATCCACCAGATAGTAGAGATCGACAGGATAGCGCTCCAGTTGCTTCACAGCCACAATGAAACTAGCCTCAGAGCCTAGAAATACAGAGACATGTAGAAAGAGAAGTATGAGAAGTCTTTGGAATGAGGGGTAAAATCCTGCGTTTCAGCTTCTGTACCTTGTCGGAGTGTGATATCGATTTCTCGCGGGGACACTTGCGTGCTGCTCAATGTAGCGTGGACCTCCACTTTGACATCGGACTGCTCCATGAACTCAGGTCCACAGCCTTTTCTGCGAAGGTTGTCCGGTAGATCACAGCGATGGCTAGACCCCACCCCATGCAGAAAGTCCTAAGCACCAAATGACAGAAAAAACTTCATCAAGGATTTTTCCTTATTTGCATAATAACTTGAATGTATAAATTCAATCCTGGCTGTTTCTAATTTTAGTAGAAACCCATGACAAAGTTTAAAGGTATTGTCAAGCAATGACAATCAAGCAAACAAAAAAAAAAATATAGGGGATCTCCGTAATACAGTCACCATGAGGTTGGGCAAGGTGAGCTCGTCAGAAACCATTGAGTTCCTAACAAAGAGCACAATACCATCATTTGAAAACAGTGTTGTGGTTCACTTTTGGTTTTGTCCGGATGCAGTGGAAAGAAACTGAAAACACTTTTACTATCACTTATTTTGGTTTCATTTTCTATTTCTTGCTCATTTACTGTCTTTATATTGATTTTAAGACTGAGGGACTTGGCATTAAAAAAAACAGCTAATCCATTATATAATCCCCTAAATTGCTCATCTCAGGTCCTGACAGTTTAAGTTTTATCCCTCATCTCTCCTCAAAGGTAAAAAATACCTGCTTCTTGTTTTCAAATCTGTGGGAAAAATTAGCCCAAAACAATGTAAAAAGCTGCTTCAATTGTTAATTGTTAGCTGTGTAAACATTACAGCAGAGTCACATCTCATAGCTTTGGATTAGGGATTATAGAAATTTCGTAATTTGGCTTGTTGAGAAACTCATGGATATGCAGTACAGTGGCAGCAGAGGCATACAACTTTGTTGCTGTATATATGCTACCAGTGAGTTATTAACCTCTCATGGGTTTGATTTCAAGCGTGTGATGAGGCCAACAAGATTGTGCAGGCGTGTAGTGGAACAGCTTAATTACTGGGGGATTTCTACTAATGTAAGACAGAAAACCCCACCAGAGCAAAGCGTCAAACTGTCTAAGACGAAGGTTGAGACTTTTACTAAATTTATGACCCGAAAGCCAGACTGCCTTCTGTTTATTTTTAGCTAATACTGTGGTAACTGTTTGCCCCTGAACAGCTCTTTCATACCTTACACTTTCTGATGGACTTCCTGGGACTTTCCTTCCTGATATAACTCTCCCTGATTCAGATTTACATGAGCACCTCTCAGGCTTTGTTTTCAGTGCTTGTCCAAGCGTGCCTATGTGTGCTTGCATTTGTGTGTAGGAGGTTTTGGAGGTGATGTTTGAAAGCATTTGGCCCAACAACAGGAGTTTAAAAAAAATTGGCATGAGAACCCGCCTGAACACACACTTGTTGACATTATGCTTCTAATACTGTGATGTCACTGCATCTGTGTGTGTGTGGTAACTGGTGTGGCACTGAGAGGGAATTTCTCAAAGCTGGTCCAGGGGTGGGTTTTTCACAAGAAGGACAAGACAGGGACAGAGAAAAAGATAGATAAAGACAAACAGAAAGGCAGATGCAGCGGTATTCATGAGCACAGAGACTAAACACACGGCTAGAGCGTGGCTCCAACTCTGAGAAAATATTCACACAGAGGCTGACGTGCTCTCACAGGTCACAGAGCAGACCGCTTTGGTCTCAAACATACACATTATATTCTCATTTACGAATGCCACTAAATCTTTGGTGCGTGTCATCTGAAGGAATGCTGTGAAAAGGCTGCCACGTTCCCACTGTTTGCTTTATTTCCTTTCTGTCTGTTACAGACAAGAGCGCACACACACAGGCACACATACTTATGTACACATTCCCACCTCCTGAAAACACCAAGCACATTTTGGTCCCCGTCTGAGGCAATCTGCGCAAGAGGTGACGTTCGGTGACCAACATAATCTGGCTCCTGCGGATAGACGAAAACAAAAAGGAGCAGAGAATCTGTGATTAGCATATGAACAACTGTGAGTCAGTACTCATTAGTCATGCGGCAGAACCTCCGTGGATATTTAGGATTTCACATCCACTCAAGAAGTGGGAAGCACTACTCCGGCACCTCGCATTAAGCTATTTAGCACAAATTAGCAAGTGCACAGCCGTGTGGGAACAGGTGCCTGAGTTGTTCAAGTGGTTAAATTGACCCTTTCCCACACATCTTCACAAAGAAACTTTAAACAGGTTTTTTTTTTTTTTATTTAAAAGACATGTTGGTTTAGACGGTGAAAAAAGGCCCACCATTCATCTTAGGCTTCTTGTTATCGGATTAATGATTTATTGCAGTAATTTATCAGCCAAAATCCAATTTCCCAGACCATTACTGTTAATTACAGAGCCTAAATGTGGAGCAGTGAAAGAATGCATTCTCAGCATCACTACCAGGCTCATTATCAGGCTGCTCTGACCCAATTAGGCACTTTGACCTCTATTCAACCCAAATCAACGCAGTGATTTAACTGCACATCTAAAATGAAGGATGAGGATTTTCCTAGCTACTGATTCTTGTAAATTTAATTTTGAAATTTGTTTTTCTATTATTTGAACACCTAAAATGCCCTAAATCTTTGCAGATTGATTATTGCGTCCCATACTGATGTGATATTTAGAGCTGCTAGGTTGGGGATTTCCACTCATATGAACAAGCACGTAGGCATGGACCCAGGTGAAACCAGGTGTGGTTTGAGGTCATGCTGTCTGACAGCAGACAGAAATAACAACCTGCAACTAGCTACTTATACATGCTCATGCTCATAACTAGTCGGAATAAATGGTTTATCAGGATAAAAATAAGTTAACATATTTTGATCAGATTTGGAAGGATAGAAATGAAATTGTAATTCAAGTGAGGGGGATGTTTATTCTTTATGTCAGGTTCAAATTATTCCTAACAAGGCAACCTGAGCAAGTATGCATGTGCAGCCCATATCAATGTGACATATTTCTGCTTTTAGTGGCTAGATGCTATTCCAAACGACACATGACATATTTTTAGTCCAATCAGCTGTTTATTTCTGATTTCTTATGTCCATACAAATGGTAGACCAACAACACAAATATTTTTATTTTGGGGTCTTAAGGTTTCAATATGATGCTAGAAATTTAGGCATGTAAACATAGCTTTTGTTGCAAGATACGTGAAGGATCTTTTTACCTACTTTTTACTTTGTTTGCATAAGTGTGCAGATTTTGACCTGATTAGCCTGGCCTGTATTATGTGTATGCAATACAGAGCTTATCAGTCTAGGCAGGTTCAGACTATTCCATGTAACTCCTACCAGACCAATCACAGCGCAGAAGGTGGGAGTGCACTCTTAGCACTAGAATTACCCCCAATGCAGCAGAACTTTTCTCAACCCATAACATTCAAGAAAGCAGCCCCCGCGCAGTGATCTTGCAGTGATGCCCTTTATTATGTCATGAATTAGCTAAATATATCTGTAAAACTCTAACAACTGGATGGTCTAAGGGTTTTCCTTGAATAAAAAGTTTCTACATTACATTCGTATTTTTCTGAGCAACTCTAACCATATGGTTGTTCCTTTCCACTGTTGCCACATGCTTGATCAAGATGAGAGAGCCCTGTATGGCCAGTGACTTGAGTGCTCTTCTGTTTGAATTTAACCTTAATCTAACTGCTTCCTTTTACTATACTCATCTTTAGCATGGTTTATTTTAGGTTGTTTTTTTTTTTTTCATTTGGTTATCCTGTTTTGTTTCCTTTTTCATTTTTCCATAGACCTTTAAATCAAGTCGCAGCCAAATGTCCAGCACCGCAGCCTTCTGATCCAGATTTTTCATGTGAACCTTTTTTACCAGCTGGTATTTTTCAATAAACTCAAACAGAAGAAATATACCGCATGTCAGTGGAAAAGAACCGGTCAAAGAGATTGCAATAAATTGAAACGAACCAGAAGAATCTGGACCATATTTGGACCGGATTTTAATCCCATAAAGCAATACAGCAGTTTGACCTTAGTAAAGGGACATTGGCTACTATTTCTGTCCGCATCTTTAGGTGATCTCCAGTAAAATGAGGAGCTCTATCAGTCTTCTACAGAGCTGATAATTTGTGCGCAGCGGTCGCAGGAGAAGACATCCCTAATTGCTGTAATATTATGTAATTAGGTCTTAATAAGCCTCCACTCACCAGTTCTGGGGTCTTCTGAGCAGACTGGGAACGCCACGCAGAGGAGCAGGAAGACACGCAGTGGAGCGCTGCGTTGCCAGGAAGTCATCCTCACACTCCGGGATGTCCGACCGGAGAGCAGAGACAGGACAGCCCGCTACTGGAGATGGAGGTGGGGGCGCAACCGGTGACAATGAGCTCCGTGCGTCCGCCGCCGCACCAACAATAGCCGGGACTGCCGGAGCGAGCCGCGGGACATTGTCTTTCACTCAATAACCTTCTAATCCCGCAGGCTATTCACAAACCCCGACTCAAATGAGCTTACAAGCGCCCTCCCCCGTGGACCACAGGAGAAAGGTGAAGTGCGGCGAAAGCTGCGGCTCAGGTCCCTCCATTTATCTCCCAGGTGTGTTGCCTCTATATCTGTCAGCTGTCAGAGGTGTCGGGCCACGCTGGGGGTGTTGGGTTTGGGGAGGAGACAAACCGGCGCTTGGTTCAGCTTTGCGCTCCGACGCAGCTGACTGAACACATCCCGCAGTGAAATCCAGGAGAAGGAGCGCGTTTTAACCGCTGCACTGACTCCTCAGGCGCAGGATGGCATGGCAACGCTGTTACTCCGAGAGGGGAGGGAAGAGAGACAAATAAGGAGGCAGAGGGGAGGGAGAGACAGGCTATAAACTGTTTCTACAAGGAATTGTGATGGCCTTGGACAGAACGTTGGTGTTTATGCTGCTTCTAAGGGGAGCCATTTATGAGCACCAAGAGCTCCTGTGGTAGTGGGGGGCTTAAGCCTGGTGGGTGGATGAATGATGGAGCCAGAGCTCTTGCAGTGGGGTTCGCAACCTGAGGAGGTGGGGGTTCTTTTGTACTGGGATTCCAATGACTCTGAGTAACCTCTCCTCTCCAGCCAGATACTCACTAACAGGCACACCATTTGGAGCTGGAGCAAAACAGAAGAGGGGACAATAGTTTGCCCCCCCTTGTGTTATTATCCTGTTTGGTTCTTTTAGAAGTATTCCAAATAAAACAGACAGAGCCAGTCCAAGAAATAAGCAAACTTAGCAGCAACTTCCCCTGAGCCAAAAGAAGCAGCAAACCTTCAGGAGCAAGCGAAGACTGAAAAAAAATTAAGTATTTGAGAGTGGTCTGCTTCCAGGCTGTGATCTGCACCAATGGATGTTTATTCCTGAATTCCTTTGTTGTATTTTCTTGTTTTTCTTCAAGTAGGTTATATAATCTGAAAATCACAACTCACCAGCTATCAAAGTGACTGGAAAAAGCACAAAGCTTTGAATGCCACAGACGTTTCCTGTGATTTCATGTGATTAGGCCTCCGATGTGACCCTCCTAAAATGTTTGTCTCGTGTTTTTATGTGCTTTCTTTGTGCAGAAGGGACTTTTGATATCTCAAACTGTATCCCATCAAGGATAATGTGTGAAATATATCCCCCCCCCCTTCCCCAATGTGGCTCCATCCACAGAGATAAAAGGCAGCGCTATAGGTAACCTGGGGAGCCAGGTAACTTTTGGGAACCTGGCAAGCCATAAGAATGCGCTGTTCCGACAGGCAGCATTCTGTGGCGTGCATGGCCTCAGTCAATCCATTTACCCCCCCCCCCCCCCCCCCCCCCCCCACACACACACACACACACACACACACACAAACACACACACACACACCACCCAAATGTATGAGTATTGTAATGAACGGTTGTACTGAAACTGAAATTTCGATTGCAATGTAGATTATTGTTGACAATAAAGAAGTTTGATTGATTGATTTGATTGATTAACTGTTTAAATTTGAAATAGTTGCACATTGTTTTTAGAAAATGAAATGTCTAATGATTGAGTTAACCAGGGATGTTTTGAAGTAAAAAAATAAAAATCCTAGTTAGGGTGGAAAAGGACTCCCTTAAGTCAGAATTCCCAGACCTAAAAGAATATGGTTGCAGTGTGTTTGGAACATGCTGATACCTGCAGTGACAAACAGTGTATTTGCACTTTTGGCAGTTTATATCTTATTCAACCATATACATAAAAGGTGATTGAGTACAAAAGCTGGAAAATGCAAGTAATTTTCCATCTTGCATAGAACCTTAAGTTGAATTTGGATTTCACTCTTTACTGGTGGGTTCTTTAAATATTCTGGTATCTGACTGAAGCAAAAGACTTCTATGGAAAGCACTACTCTTTTGGGCAATTTGGGGCCTTTAGTCCAAGCTAGGTTATTTATTTTAATAGTTTAAATCAAGATAAATTCTTTCTCTGCCTTACAACTTTTAGATTTATATTAGATCAGTTTATTCTAGACTCATCCAATATAAATGATTATGCTCAATAAACCATAACATAATATCTATATCACCTAGTTAGTTCATAATTTGATACCATGATTCATACATGCCAAATGCTATCAATACAAATCTAATTGAAAATACATGTATTGTAAGCAACACATATGTGTTGAATATGTGGTTGATATTACTTTATAGTAGTTAACCTTACAATCTTAGATGTAAAAAGTAAATTAAATAAAGTTTCTGTTGGTTAAGCTGATGTGCCTGACAGAGATGCTAACAAGTTGTGTTAAAATTCTAAGTCAATTTTCTAATGGCATAGATAAGGATCTTCTTAATGGAAACATGCCCTCTAGTCCAAAGCAGCCAGAACTCAGCACTCAAAGGCCTGATCCCTGCAGGTTGTAGAGGTTTCCCCGTTTCAGCACAGATTTCCATTAACAGCTAATTATGAAGTTTTTCCTGAACTGTTCTCATCATAATCTTTCAGTTGTTAGTCAATTCAACAGTCAGTGGAGTAAGAATGCATTTTAGGATCTTATTACGATCGAAGTCTACACCTGAGTCTTGAGCCAAAGATTCTGGTACCTGATGGTATTTGGAAGGGGCTCCACAAATCGATGTCTGTTTTGAGCCACATACAGCCTTGGATAAGCTCTGTAGACAGTCATGTTTTGCTTGGCATCAAGCCTAAACAGAAGATTAAGTGAGAACTCGCAGTGAGTTCCTCACCCTTTATCTACGGTGTTTGACCCCAGCTGCTCTTCAGGGTTGTGGAGCAGAGCCAAATACGCCCCTACTCTCAATTATTCATTTGTCAAAAGAGGCTTATTTGGAAGGGGGTGAGGTGGACACCTCCCCATCTACGGTCTTTGCAGTCACTCTCAATTATGATAATGATGAAAACACATAGCACACTGTTTTCCTGGGTGTGTGAAAGATCCTTCCTTGGACTGTCTTTATCCTGACGAGTTTTGTCCTGTGCAGGATGACAGTGGGGGTTTAGAAGGAGGTCTGCAGGGCAAAATATGGATGTATTCTCTGCTGTGCAAACTTGATAATGGACTGTAGTGTAAACAGATCCTTACCTCTGTCATTGCTGGTTAGTATCAGCATCCTAATGACAGCCAATGTAAACTTGACACAAAACATTCCTCCACTGTAATCATTCCTCTGCCCCCCCACCAACCTTTTTCTCTCTACCCGCTGTGTGTTTGTGTTAGCAGTTGGCTTGGTTTTCCATCAAACACGTCTGGTTTCATTGCTTTCCAACCACACATGCAAATATGCACCCATACATAAATATACGTGTACACCACAGTAGTTCTTATCCTCTTTTCAAACAAACACCTGCCCTTTTTTCTCATCCCCCTCCCCCAAATCTCTTCTCTATATCCCCTCCTCTTGCTGTTTTTTTAAGTGTCTAAACCTCTTTTCGAACCTCTATTCTTTTGTGATGGAGTATGGATCAAAGGGGAAATGGGACAGAAATGGGAATTCCCAACAGACAAATGCCAACTAATAACTGCAAGTGCACACAGTAACTTTAAAGGTTTGAGACATTTAATTTGGGAAGATTTTGCACTTTTTGTCAAAAGTTAGGTGCTTAATTAAGTTTAACACATTCATTTCTATATGTAGGCCAAATTTACTCTGATTCAGATACCGACACAGCAGTCTTACTTCCCTCTGTTGTGTTAAATGTCAGTATGTACTGTGAAGTGACTCGAATTCCCCTATTGAAATCAAAATATCATCCTCCTCCCACTGTTACCACAAAGCGTCTTTTTCAGTCTAGATTTGTATCACTTCAGGGGAGTAATTTAAAATTTCTTTTTTAAAAGAAAACTGCCTTGTTCTGCAAGTCAGAGAGTCCCATCGGTAGAAACTGAACACAGAACTGAAATCTTTGAGGTAATAAGACAGTCCCGTTGGCTTATTTTAGCCGTCCTGTTTCTAACGGGGACACTTCACATATTTTTTTTTCCAACAGGAACCAAAAATTGCATTAACTTGATCTTCAATACTTCATGAATTTGAACATGTGCAACTGAGGTATCATAATTCACCTTTTTTTTTTTTACTTTAAAACGAAGCCAACACAATCATAAGAGAATTAGACATGTTAGAAGGGCTGAAACTTCACACATAAATAATATTGCCAGTTGTCCATTTTGTTTCACTGGGTTTTTGATACATTAATCTTTACTGTTGTTTCCTATGTCTTTCAATGCTTACTTGTTCTTCTTAAATATAGCCAGGTTTTGACTTCTTTTATTATATTTTATACTTTTTCTAATAGTTTGTTTTTTATTGTAAAATGTTTTCCTTGTTTGTAGTTGTTCTGTGCTAAATGGGTTTGATTTTTAGCCATTTCTTTATATTTGTAGGTTTCCAAACGCTTTGACAGTTTTTTGGCAGTTTTTGTCCATAGATGTGGTTGGTTGCAGAGTTTTGGTCATAAGTTCATCCCACTATAATTCTGTGATGTTAAAAAATATATCTTAGAATTTGTTAAAAACATTTTCAGATTTAAGAATAAGGGAAGGAGTCACATTGTCTCTGAGTCTAGGATATTTATTTGGAAAACAGTTGGATTTACATTTGGTTTTGGTGCAAGTGATTCAAGCCAGTCTAGATAGGTGTCTATAGGTTTCTGCAACTTTGTCCATCTGAATTCAGCAAATCGATAAAGTCAATTAAGTCATAACGAAAGTGTGCTATGGGTCACGTCGTAAAAAGTCATCTTACATTTAGGAGGGACCTGCTGACTTTCCTAGCAACTGCTAGGAGCAATAAAGTTACCTACAATCCTTTTCCGTGACAGGATACATAGGCACAACCCAAGTTTAACAAAAGTACATTATTTCTTCACCTAAAGAAATTATGTAATTTTTTTTTTACATAATTTGTTCTTTTGTGACACATGAAAAAGTATGCATCTTCTAGTTTTTTAGGTTTTGTAATGGAAAGCTTTTTGTAGTTCCTGTTTCCTACCAGCAATGACGTCCTGCTGAAGGCTGTTCGGATTCAGAAAACAGTCCAAAGGTTCTTTCCTACCCAAAATAATGTTCTAACTTTTAAAACCAAAAGGTGAAGAAATAAAGCAACAAATTCAAAATCAGCCAGTTAAATTCACGACCTCCATATTGGATATGAAACTTAGAGGTGATCTGCAAGCCATGGCTTTGCAAGGTTTGAAATCTGACTTTATGTGTGTTCTTGGCATGTTTCATACCAGGAACTTAAAAAAACATTGGACCAGTCTTTGCAATGAGAACATAACCATAATATCAATGTTTTTTAACACTTTGCACCTAGGTAAGGAGAGCCTGTTCAATACAAAACTAAGTAAACCTGTGATTTATTAGCTGCTTATGGTAACATATTTTGAGTTTTATTTATTTGCAACAGCAAAATGCTTGATAGGCAAATACATGGAA